CCTGTTAACAGTTATGCTATGCAAATGTATATCTCTGCATGGCGCTAGCGAATACTGCAAATAGGCTCCCATTTCGTAGATGAAGAGAAGCTGGGTATCGAGGAGGGTTGGGGCAGTTTTGATATGGTTTAAAAAAGCGGAGGAATAGAGATGCGTAATTTTGGTCTCGCCAGAAACTGAAGGAGGATCGCCCTGGAGTTGTGAAGACTGCATTGTGTGAAAAAGACCTTGGCCCATTCGTGCTGATCCGTTTTCTGTCCTCCTGTGACAAACAGCATCAGCAGAAAAGTTGGGTTTCGAGGAATCTTTTGTTTCATAATTGTTGAGCTTACATACATTTAGAAGGAAAATGTTGGGTGAAGAGATTCGAAGTTCGGTACCATCAGAAGACGACGGCGGATTCCTCTTGACCAGCTGTCGATTGGCTTTACTGGAAGATTCATGTTGACGCTGTTTCCGAGGCGATCTCCTTCGATTCCGGTGAAAAGGTGCTAAGCTTTCGTCCGTCATATGACGAACAACATCAGAGCAGGGTATCATCTTCACAACAAAATTCAAGCTAACGAGTCAATAAAACTCACCGGATTCGAAGGAGATTGCCTCGGAAACAGCGTCAGCATGAACCTTCCAGTAAAGCCAATCGACAGCTGGTCAAGAGGAATCCGCCGTCGTCTTCTGGTGGAACCGATCTTCGATTCTCTTCACCCAACACTTTCACTCGAAATGCAAGTAGGCTCAACAAACAGCATCCGAGCCAGAAATGATGGCCTATTAAAGACTATTATCTAAAACAGCAAAGTAAGAACGATTTATCCAAACACGGATTTGTCGAGGCGGCAGCAGTGCTTATCAGAGAAGGTCAATTTATGTAGCCGTTTCCATGGAATTGAAAGATTCGCCAGCATCACTCTGCGAAAGTATTATTAGCAATCTACAACTGGCCAAAAGGAAGCTGCCCTCGTCTTCTGGTGAGGTTGACCTTCGGACCTCTTCATCATACATTTTCACTCGAAAATAAAGTTAGCCCAAAAGCGAAGGAAACCTCTTAAACTCCGACATTTTGCTTGAAAAGAGAATCCTTAAGTTCGGTTGACTGGACAGTAAGACAAGTTCCGTTAATTGGCCTCGTCAGAAACCCAAGAAAAATTGACTGTCTTTGATGTGTAACTATGGGCGCACCATCCTGCGACTCCGATTAATCCATGCTCAAACTTTCCTTCCCCAGACGGAAGAACATCCTGGACTTATCAAGGTTGCTGACCGGTGAGACGGGGTTTTATTCGCACAATACAACCCTAACCAAGTACGGCATATAAAAAATTTTCTCATGCTTCATTTAGGAGAAACTTTGAATCTGCACTGAAATTGACTGAGTCAGACATCCTTACAGGTTGCATCATTCCAAATTGGTCGTATCAGAATTCAACCTGAACTGGACAGTGAATGTGTGGGTCCACAAAAAATACGGCATGCCATGGCAATCGCGATATCAGACATGACGTTTAAAAATAAAAAGGCCTCCATTAACAGCTTTTTTGCTGCAAGATATCAAGACCAAGATGGTGTGGCCCCCGGTATGATCTCAGTCTCCTTACGATTTCTAGAAATGGGTTGACATAGTTTTCGCAACTTTGCCTTGTTGTCAGGGCAACTTAGTTGAATACACCTTGTCCGAAGTCCTCTGCTATAGTAGTGATCATAATTCCCAGCATCAGGCCGTGTACTTGGTACATTCTCAGATGTTGCGCCGGCATCGTAGTCGGCATCATCAGTGAGTCCTGCCATTCTCCGCACCAAGCCACAATTTCGTCAAAGAGACAAGTGAAATCAATCCCCCGACCAACGTTTTGTTGAAACCGTTATCCAACTCCTACCCTCTCACAACTTCTGGCTTGTTTACATTTCACTCGTCAACATTTGTGATAGTGTAACCGTTTCGGCAGAATGTTGGCCGAGGGATTGACTTCACTTGTCTTTTTGACGAGTTCGTGGCTTGGCGCGGAGAATAGCAAGCCTCACTGAGGATGTCGACTACGATGCCGACGAAACGTCTGAGAATGTACCAATAACACGGCCTGATGCTGGGAATTATCATCACTACTATAGCAGAGAACTTTGGACAAGGTGTGTTCAACTAGGTCGCCTTGACAACAAGGCAAAGTTGCGAAAACTATGTCAACCCGCTTTTTTTTGCTGGTTATATCAATGAAATACATACGCAACTTGAGTGTTATTCCACATATTTTTAGGCCTCAAAAGAATGCTACTTGCAACACTATTATCAAGGATGTACCCATTTAATTTTACCACAATGATATAAGTAGACGCTGTGCTTCCATTGAATTTAATATATTCTTTCTTTTCCAAAAGTTATTCTCATCCAGAGCGGACTGCAATTTCGACCTCTCCTGGGTAGTTAGTAATGTAGTCGATTGTTGTAGCAAATACATCTTTGCTACATCGACACCTCCATCACAGAATGTGAAATGGGAAAATGCCTAGCCTTCCATGAAATTCACAACTGCCCTGTGACCCAAGGTCACTCGTGGCAATGTCGTGTGTGATGGTTAACGTGTCGAGATCATACGCTGCACTGTCATCATTCGAGTCCCGATTTGGCTTCTGATGAGGGCTAGGCGAGATCGAAATTGCATTCCACCCTGGATGAGAATCCCTGTTAAAAACCGAGATTGTGTAAAATTTAATGGAAACGAAAGTTCTACTCATATCACTGTGTGAAAATTCAACTAACTACACCCTTATCACCTTAAACGAAATAGGCTGAAGGCATTTCATATATACATATATGATCTATGGTAGACTTGAAAACCTATCTATAAAAGAAAACTACTATTATCAAAACTTTAGAATGATTGTAGGAGAGTCTAGATGGGTAAGCAGATAGGCAAAGTTGTTGTCTTGCATTTTTTTCAGCCACACATCTGTTTAGTCTAGACAATGGGAATAACTGGGACGACTGATGAAATGGAAATAAAACACATTTTCACAACAAGATTCCTCTTCCATACTGTATTGTGGTTGCCCCCTAATCCAATCTAATTATCCCGCTAACACCATTCATATTCCCTCAATTTAGGCTGAGATCACCTTT